CTTTAAGACCAAGTTTTATTCAGGTACAAGCTCTCCCTCCTCTGTGAGGACAGATCTGCACGTTCCCCCCCCCCCAATAGCTAGCAATCCAAAACAGTCCAGTGGAGCCTGAGCAGTGGGTGTTGCCTTCTGACACACTTCCGGTGATGTCAGGGGGTGTGGCCTATGCAAATAAGCTATGCCAATGAGATCCTGCACCTCTTTTTCTACGAAATGACTCCTGGTCATCATTATCAATTAAATTTATTAATCACCCTATCCCTGCTTACGTTGGGCTCTGGGCGATGTACAAAGGGGCACGATGCCGTAATAAAATATACAAAAACATTTAAAATTCAATATACAGCGTAAACAATGGAAAAGTGTAAATGATTGAATGTCAAATGTCGAATTCCTATGAAAATAAAACTTTGTTTACCAAAAAATAAAATTCAATATACAGCTTAGAAAAATGGCAATGCAGAATAAAAGATTCGAGATGGCATCCTACAATATTATTTATCCCAGTTCTGGACTACCTACCAGCCCTTTTCTGGGCAGGGGGGAACACTACCCCTGAGCGACATCCTCTCTTCCAGTTTTGGAACAGGAAGGTGCCTTCCGCTGAATCCAGTCATCAAGGTCAGTGTTGCCTACTCAGACTGGCAGACGCTTGGTCTCCAAGATCTTGGGCAGAGAGGTCTTTAACATCACCTGCTCCTTCGGTCCTTTTCACTGGAGACGCCGGGGGTTGAACCTGGGACCTTCGGCCTGCCGAGCAGATGCTTTGTGTTGGGAGTTACAAGTTAAAACACTTCTGTTTCAGTATTTACTGGGTTAATACTGTTTGCTAAATCACATGTTTGTTTGTAACCAATAAGTTTAGAGAGCTAGAAAGCCTGGCAACTTCAGATCTAGTTTGTTGTTCTGATTGGAGACCAAGGTGCCAGGTATTAGCATTTTATCTTTGTCCAGAGCAAGGAGAAGCAGCTTGTCTTCTCTCTTTTCTGCCATGTTCTGTCTAGCTGTAAGGATGTAGGAATATTAGCTCTTTATTATTTTACTTCCCGTGTACCTTTCCCCCATGCTAGGTTGTAGTCAACTTTTATATTTAAACACACCATGGACTCTGACTCTTTAATACTCTGCTGAATGCCGATTACTCTGCTGATTTACTTTAAAATATTAAGGATATACCCCAATACTTTGCCACTGAGCCACGCAGCCCTTCCCACCTGGGGCTATCCCATGATATGCTTGCACCAAGCCTTTCAGGTAGCATAGTCTGAGATATGGCAAGGGTGCAGGGATTTGAGAGCAAAGGCACCCAGTGCTTTACACCACACCGTCTCGCTCTCACGGGCCCACGAGACCAAGCAGGGCGAGGCCCGATTATGTTGCCAGCGGCAGGGCCCACAGAGAGGGAAAGGGCAATAGATGAACCATGGGCTTATTTGAAGCCACCAGAGCGCAACTTCATATTATTAGATCCAGATTCACATGCTCCTCTTCTAACATTGCGTATGCCATTAGATGCCAACAATGCCTTCCGGTTCTCTCCATAGGGCAAAGAGGGCAAACCCTACGCCAGAGGTCAATGGACACAAATCTGACACCAAGAATCACGAGATGGGAGAACCCTTCAGCCCTCCAGGACATTCAGTGGGTGACCTCAAAGTAGCTGTTTTATTGCAAAGGAACTTCAGGAACAGACTAGAAAGGGAAATCGCTGAATTACAAGTTATTACAACACTCGGAACAAAAACCCCAGGACTTAACAAGGATATTGACTTCTTATCTCACTACATATGCTAAGTCCATTCAGTCCTTACATGTGTATTCTCGCCTCTTTATGTTAGTGAATTTCTTTTTAAATAGTATATTGGAATAGTGATTGCAATAGAAGGCAGCTAATATTGGAATGTATTTCTCTGATCTAGGGACAGAGGAGACATGCCATTCACCCCACCTCAAAGGAAAGGATGCTGTTAACTACCTCCATGCCTGAGAGGAGATGAAGGAAGCGTAACAACACGATCTCAGTTAATAATTCTTAGCATCCCACAATTAAGGATACTTTTACACAATTAAGTCTCCTATTTTGACATATAATTTGTGTCCCCCCCTAATTAAACAAATGGTGACCACCCCAGGACTTAACAAGGATATTGACTTCTTATCTCACTACATATGCCAAGCTCATTCAGTCCTTACATGTGTATTCTCGCCTCTTTATGTTCGTGAATTTCTTTTTTAAATAGTATATTGGAATAGTGATTGTAATAGAAGGCAGCTAATATTGGAATGTATTTCTCTGATCTAGGGACAGAGGAGACATGCCATTCACCCCACCTCAAAGGAAAGGATGCTGTTAACTACCTCCATGCCTGAGAGGAGATGAAGGAAGCGTAACAACACGATCTCAGTTAATGATTCTTAGCATCCCACAATTAAGGAGACTTTTACACAATTAGTCTCCTATTTTGACATAATTTGTTTCCCCCCCTAATTAAATCCAAACAAATGGTGACTATATAATCTTAACTTTGTTATTCCTGTTTAGTTTTCTGCATCTGTATGCTAATTTGCTGTTCGCCCTCTACATATATCAGCAAACTGTTACCTTCCATTTCAAAGTATCTGAGCAAGTGTGCATGCACACGGAAGAAGAGATTGGATTTATACCCCGCCCTTCACTCCTTCGTTTCAGAGTGGCTTACAATCTCCTTTCCCTTCCCCTCCCCACAACAGACACCCTGTGAGCAATGCTCCCTCTAAGCTATGGAGTCCTGTGTGCAAAAATTCTACTTTGTGAGCTACTGGCATTAAAGCTGTGAGCGAGCGATTTGGCTGCTGCATAAATTAGTTCACTCTGGAGCCATCCTTCCTGAGCTGAGACAAAAATGTGTGAGCTGGAGGCTAAAAAACTGTGAGCTAGCTCACACTAACTCAGCTTAGAGGGAACTCTGCCTGTGAGGTAGGTGGGGCTGACAGAGCTCTCTCGAGAACGGCTCTTGAGAGAACAGCTGTGAAAGAACTTGTAACTGACCCAAGGTCACACCAGCAGCTGCATGTGGAGGAGCGGGGAATCAAACCCGGTTCTCCCAGATTAGAGTCCGCGCTCCTAACCACGACACCAAACTGGCACATACCTTCAATAAAACTTTCTTGGTCTTAAAGGTGCCACTGGACTCAGACTTTGTTCTTCATATTATTCGTTTCGACGGCAGATTTTTGACAGATGGGCTCCAGCTCATTTAAATCTTACCCACTTAATAGTGTTCCAGTGGCAACCCGAAAAGCAAGAGACTCAGCCTGCTTATAAGAAAGATTCCATTTTATTAAGGTAAAAAAATAAAACAGGTGGTCTGCAGTACACGCCGCCACCTGCCTAGAATTCACACATTCAGTCATTCGTTCAATGCAATGCAAATCGTTAATTGGATAGAAAAGTGACGTGGGGCCTTCCCAGGATGACCGAGGGCCCACCAACCACACCATCTCCATCGCCTCCTGAGCGCAGGTTTGTGGTGCAACATGATGCAATACCAGGGGGCTGCCAGCAGAGGGAGCACGGAGAACACAGCAGACCTTGGGAAAGGGTCTGATGGGTGCAGAGCAAACTCAGAGGTCACGGAGTTGAGCCCCCGGAAAGGGCAAGCACTTCATACCCTCGGTCCATGTGCCTCTCTTTCTGTCCCCCCTCTTCTGGGGACAAACTCCGGGTCATGGGCAGAGTCCATCACAGGGGCTTCCTCTTCAGCCCGAAGACCGAGATGAAAAGGAGGACCTCCACTGCAGCGGGTAAAGCGCTGGAGGGGGGAAAGAGAGGGGGGAGATTAGTCTTGGGGAGAGGGGCTGGGCAGTGCCCCCCTTTCCTTGGAAGGAGACGAGCCCCTTCTCCCTTAGGAAGGTCTGCACGCTCGCTCTCTCTCACACTCACACACACACTAAGTGGTGTGTGGCTCTACCTGCAGAAGGCCATGATGAACCAATAGGTGACAACCTCCCAGCGCTCCGAGATGAAAAAGGAGAGGCAGACGGAGGCGCTGCAGTGAGCGGCCAGAGCTAGTGGGGATCAGTCAGGGAAACAAATCGCTGCAAAAAGGGAAGCCCGCAAGGGAGAAACCCTCCGGACGGGGCTGAGCAGAGACCCTGCGAGAGGAAGGACTGGGGGGGGGGATGTCTCCCATTAAGGAAGAAGTAGAAGAAGAGATTGGATTTATACCCTGCCCTTCACTACCCGAAGAACAGCGGCTTACAATCCCTTTCCCTCCCCTGTGAAGCAGACAGGGCTGAGCGAGCCAGTTTGGTGTCATGGTTAAGTGCGCGGACTCTAATCTGGGAAAACCGGGTTTGATTCCCCACTCCTCCACTTGCAGCTGCTGGGTGACCTTGGGCAAGCCATAGTTCTGATAAGAGCTGTCCTTGAAAAAGAGCTGTTTCTGTCAAGAGCTCTCTCAGCCCCACCTACCTCACAGGGTGTCTGTTGTGGGGAGGGGAAGGGAAAGGAGTTTGTAAACTGCTCTGAGACTCCTTCAGGTAGTGAAGGGCAGGGTATAAATCCAACTTCTTCTTCTTTCCCTTCCCCTCCCCAGAGAGTTAGGTGGGGCTGAGAGAGCTCTCTCCAGAACTGCCCTTGAGAGAACAGCTCTCAGAGAACTTGTGACTGACCCAAGGTCATCCAGCAGGTGCAACTGGAGGAGTAGGGAATCAAACCCGGTTCTTCCAGATTACAGTCCACGCTCCTAACCACTACACCAAACTTGCAGGGATGGGGAAAGGCTGGACTCAGTCACAACAGCCAAGATTTGGTCGCTTAAACCAAGACTCTGATGGCATCGGGCAGGGGTCTCCGGTCTTCTTGAACCTGTGGAATTCTGACTGACACAGGGTGGTGGGCGCAGCTGCGGAATGGCTGCTGCAGCAGGCGGAGCCAAGTACTGGAGGAGCGAACCACAAAAAACACTGCAGCGGCCAAAGCCATGTTTTTAAAAATCTGTAGTAACCCATTAGATCTCCAACAGCCAATCAGAAGCTGTACTGGACAAAAGCCCCGCCTGCTTCCTGAACACACCTGCTGGGCCCTGGGAAAAGTGTCAGTGGGGGCCATGCCGACCACAGGTACCCCGCTGGGGACCCATGGCATGAGGCATGTCCACGTGACCCCAAGCCAAAAGACCTCCACCATCACCAGCCATTTTGGTTTGTGGAGAAGGACCCAATCCCCAGTGCCGGCTAGGGAGAATTTGCTAGATGATCTTGGGGCTTTTATTTTTTCAGCTTTGTGTGCCACAATGAGGAGGAGGAGGAGGAGAGACTGGATAGATACCCCGCCCAGTGTTCCCTCTAAGCTGAGTTCGTGTGAGCTAGCTCACAGCTTTTTAGCCTCCAGCTCACACATTTTTGTGAAAGATGGCTCCAGAGCAAACTAATTTATGCAGCAGCCAAATCGCTCGCTCCCAACTTTAATGCCAGTGGCTCACCAACTAGAATTTTGCTCACAAGACTCCACAGTTTAGAGGGACCATTGACCCCACCCTTCGCTCAGAGCCGCTTACAAACTCCATTTTCCTTCCCCTCCCCACAACAGACACCCTGTGGAGTTGGTGGGGCTGAGAGAGCTCTTTCCAGAACTGCTCTTTCAAGGACAGCTCTGACCGAACTAAGGCTTGCCCAAGGTCATCCAGCAGCTGCACGTGGAGGAGTGGGGAACCAAACCCGGTTCTCCCAGATTAGAGTCCGCGCACTTAGCCACTACACCAAACTGGCCAAGGGGAAGGTTTTACAAAGGATGGAAAAAACCTTTCCTGATCTCCAGATGCAGGGAAACACGTCCCAAGCGATCGTCCTCCTCCTTGAACCTTACATTACTTGCTCCTGTATCTTACAAATACATCCCAGCTGTCCGGAACCTGCAGATGGCTGCATTTCTGCCCCGCCAACCATGCGAGGTGCGGCGCTCCTTTGCAAAGACGGGCTCTGCCTCCAGAGGTCCCCGTCCCCTCAACCCACCTGCAGAAAGCAAAGATCCACCAGTACTGGCTGCCGTCCCACTGTTCAAAGAGGAAGAAGAGCAAGGCGATGGCTGCAGACGCATGCGCCCCGGTGGCTGGAGCGGAAGGTGATGCGCGGTCAGGGAGAAACAACGGTCAAAGGGCCTCCCTCCACCACCGAAGACCAGTGTTCCCTCTAAGCTGCAGAGCCTTGTGTCCTTCCTGAGCTAAGACAAAAGTGTGTGAGCTGGAGGCTAAAAACCTGTGAGCTGGCTCACACTGACTCAGCTTAGAGGGAACACTGCTGAAGACCTGATGGGACGGCTGACAGATTTCAGGGGCTGCCTTGATTATGGCCCACACACTCGTGTGTGTGTGTGTCCACGCATCGGAAGTTTTTGCCTTGACCTGGGTGGCCCCGACTAGCCTGATCTCACCAGATATTGAAAGCTAAGCAGGGTCCGCCCTGGTTAGCCCTTGGATGGGAGACCGCCCTCCAGGAAGCCCAGGGCTGCTACGTAGAGGCAGGCAAGCGGCAGACCACCCCTGAACGTCTCTGGCCTTGAAAACACACAGGATGTTTCCAAGGCTCCTGGGAGAGCGCACCCAGGTGCAAGGCAGGGCCACAGGGCTTCACTCCCCAGGATATCTGCTTGCCAGAGGTCATTTCGTGGGGGGGATCGCGGGGGATCGCAGTTCCCCCAGGTGAGGTACGGGGGGGGGGAATGACGAAGCCCCGCCCCCCTGCTTCCGGCCGCCCCGCTTCCGGCCCTCATTCAGCCAGGAGGAGGCGGGGGTGTGGCATGTGCTAATGAGTTATGTTAATGAGTTCCCCTAGCTCTTTTTCTACGAAACGACCCCTGCTGCTTGCACAAGCGGCAAATAAAAAACAGAGTCGGTCACAGGCACGCCCGTCTGTCTTCTTATGCGCATCCGGGTGTGGATGTTCGTGCATCCGGAACCTGGCATCGGTGTTCACCAGTGTTCCCTCTAAGCTGAGTCAGTGTGAGCTAGCTCACAGTCTTTTAGCTTCCAGCTCACACATTTTTGCCTTCACTCAGGAAGGGGGGCTCCAGAGCAAACTGATTCATGCAGTGGCCAAATCACCTGCTCACAACTTTAACACCAGCAGCTCAGAAAGTAGAATTTTTGCTCACAGGACTCCACAGCTTAGAGGGAGCATTGGTGTTCACACTTTCCTCCCAAAACATATGAGAAGCCGTGTTGGATCAGGCCAGTGGCCCATCCAGTCCAATGCTCTGTGTCGCACAGGGGCCAAAAGCCATCTGCCATCTGGAGGTCCACCGGCAGGGCCAGAACTCCAGAAGCCCTCCCACTGTCACCACCCAAGCACCACGAATACAGAGCATCACTGCCCTGGACATAAGAAGATAAGAGAAGCCAATGTTGGATCAGGCCAATGGCCCATCCAGTCCAACACTCTGTCACAGAGTGGCCAAAAATACCAGGTGCCACCAGGCTGTACACCAGTGGGGCCGGGACACTAGAAGCCCTCCCACTGTTGCCCCCCCCAAGCACCAAGAACACAGAGCATCCCTTGCCCCAGACCGAGAGTTCCTATCTATCCCTTGTGGCTAATAGCCACTGGTGGACCTCTGCTCCAGATGTTTATCCAATCCCCACTTGAAGCTGTCTGTGCTTGTAGCCGCCGCCACTTCCTGCGACAAAGAATTCAACGCGTTAATTATGTACCTCCCCAATCCCACTTAGCCTCTGCTTACAAAGGATACAGAGGAGGCTTTGCAAGTTGTTGAACATGGACACGCCAGAGAGGAAGCCAGCCAACTCGACCACAAAGAGCCCCAGGGTCACGGACAAGGCCACCACCATCCTGGAGAGGGGAGACCACAGGGAGGGTTGAGTCCAATTATGTCAGAATTATGGTGGTCAGTCGCCCCCACACACAAGCACTCTGCAGAGGATAAAAGGGTAGCCCGTGCTGGTCTGAAATAGAACAGCGAGGTTCGAGTCCAGGAGTACCGTACAGACCCCCAAGGCTTTCGGGGTATGGGCTTTTGAAAGGGGGCTTTGACTCTGGACAGCTTAACCCCCCAAAATCTGGTAGGTCACTAAGGTGCTAATGGACTCACACCAACCTGTTTCAGTCTACATAGTGTCTACATAGTGTGGCAGTCCCCAAGGGATACATGGGATGTTTTAGAATTACATAAGAACATCAGAAGAGCCCTGCGGGATCAGACCAGTGAGAGTCCCTCTAGTCCAGCATCCGGTCTCACACAGGGGCCAGCCAGTTCCTCTGGAGGACCAACAACAGGGCAGAGAGGCCTTCATAAGTATATAAGAGCTCTGCTGGATCAGACCAGTGAGAGTCCATCTAGTCCAGCATCCTGTCCCACACAGGAGCCAACCAGTTCCTCTGGAGAGCCAACAACAGGGCAGAGAGGCCGAGGCCTTCCCCTGAGAAGAACCTAAGAAGAGCCCTGCTGGATCAGTCCATTGAGGGTCCCTCTAGCCCAGCCTCCCGTCTCACACAGGGGCCAACCAGTTCCACTGGAGGGCCAACAACAGGGCAGGGAGGCCGAGGCCTTCCCCTGATGTGGCCTCCTGGCACTGGGATTCAGAGGCTGACTGCCTCTAAATGTGGAGGG